CACGTCACTGTTCGCGCAATCGTCACTCAGAGCACCTTTTCGCCTTACAATATTTGTATGCAGCCATGTCATATGTCTGTAAACCTCCGCCAATGGCACAGTTCCTGCCGTTGGTGCAAAAACATTGAGAACCATGGCGACGAGCGCCGTGGGTGTGACGATCGTGTTTTCTTCAATGCTGTGCGTGGCATGCCAAGCCAAGTTCAAAAGTACTCGCGGTGGTGTTATGCGATTCTTTCGGGGCGAAGCGTCTAAATCCTTTTCTCCCCGCGGTTCAAACGGCGCCGGGCACTGAAGCGGCTGGTCTTGGAAATGACGTAATGAAAACGCCTCGCCAATGTACACGTGAATCTTTCCATGACGCGTCTTTAGTAGCGACCGCGCACGAAACAAGTTGCCCATGCTCTCACTTGGCTTTGACACACCAAACTGTTCATCCGCGTACAGCCTGGTCTCCAAGAGCTCGTCGTAGGAAAGGCTGATGGGGATAAAATACACATCGTCCAACTCCCCCTTTGACTCGAGAAAGGCGTCCGTGATGAACCGGAGGATGCCAAGCTTTGGGCAAAGCGTCTTGCCGGTCCTGCTTCGTGTGCCCTCAATAAAGAACTCCAGCGTCCGACGCCGAAGGACCAGTTGTCTAACGTATTCTCTGAATAGCGTATAATACAGTTGGTCATCACGAAATGAGCGACGCATGAAAAAAGCACCGCTGCCACGCATGAGCCTTGCAATGGGCCCCATTCGTAGAAAGTCGTCGCCTGCACAAACATGGGGCGGTGAGAAACCCATCACCACAAGCAGATATGTCATGATAATAAAGTCCACGTAGGAGCGGTGAGACGGAAGCAATACAACCCCCACGCGTGGTGTGTTCACCAGATTATACAGACGTTCAAAGGCTCCAGAGTTGAGACTCACCTCGTCGTACAAACGAAAAAGTACACGGCGTACAAAGAATCCAAATAGACGTAGCTGAAAATGATTAAGGCTGTCCCCAACTGTACGGAGAATTGCCATGGCACGCTCTCGGACGGCAACTTCTGAAGAATTTTCCTTCTTTGCCACTTCACCCATAATACGTAACACACTTGGGTGGGCCAAGATGCGTGACATGGACTCTTTTGTAAGCCCTGGCGAGGCGGCAAACCTCTCCCCATCGGATTTTACTCCAACTCGCGCAGTCCAGTGCACATCGGAAAACCATCTGCGGGGAATTAAGGAAGTTGAAGGCACTCTACGCGTTCCATGAAAGACAATGTCATTATGGTATAAGGGAACGGGCGGGGGTAAAGACAAGGGCCGCTTAAAAATTTGCAGTGCGACGCCCTCCAAAACTGCCTGAGCGATGACTTTGATATAAAGATCCCACTGAACGTTCCTCAGTAAAATGAGTGGGAGCAGCCCTCGAAGGGACGCGTCCCGCGTTACAATTTGCAGCAGCTGCTGGTAGTAATTTTCGTTAAATGAGACGGATGCGGATGGTGGCTTGGCGGCATCTGGATAATTCACGGTGCGAGAAGGTGACACACGGGCCGCTGCCGCCGCTGTAATGCATTTAACAACCGCGTCAATGCTGCCAAGGGCACCACGGATGTATTCCGTGGTCGTCGAGTCGGGCAGTTCGCCCAGAAGTCGTTTCCGGCGCTGTGCTACCTGGTGTGCATAATAGCAGCGGAACGGCATCATCAGGGAGACTCCGTAGTTGACCCAGTCTGAGACGTTGGCACTGAGCTGCAGTGTGGGTTGCGTGTCAAGCAGCTGTGGAAACGGGAGGACCCCTAATGCCGCCGGGCCAATTCGGCCATAGTAGTCCATCAGGTATTCAGCAACCATTCCCCACACCAACACGTTATCAGCTGCGCAACCCAACTTCATCTTGGCAGCATCTGCAGAAATAAACCCAAGCCCATTATCCTTGTGGAGCAGCACAGCCGTCATTGCAGTGATGAGCGCCACATCCAGCGGAACAACACGTAAAGGATCGCGAAAACCCACAGGCAGGTGCTTTACGGTTCCCATAGCTACACCAAGAGAAACACACTCAAGTATCCCTTTCATTGCGCGGCACCGACGCACAAAAGACCGCGTGAGGTGAAGATCAAACGAAGGTGGGGCAAAGTAAGGAACACAGAAGCCGAGCACCGTCCATCCAGGCAGGTGCGTCTGTGCGGCTTCCCATGCCGAGCGCTGCGTGGCGTCATCGCAAAGAATAACAAGATATCCGCCGCTTTTGCGAAGGGAAGCAAGAGAGGAAAGAGGCGCGTGACCACAACTGTCTGCGTCGCTCCACGCGGAAATATAAACATACAGGTCGCTTTGCACATCCGCTACGAAGCACTCCGCCTCCTTCATCTGTGGTGCGTCCACTGCAAATGCCACATGCTTCATAATCTCCACTCCTTTTGTCAAATCTCGACACAAGGATTCAAACGCGGCAAACGAGGAGCTCGTACAGCTCCCGGTGGCCTGGCACTTATCTCCATAAAGAATACCGCGTGAAACATCAAATCTGTTCATGACAACGATGCTCTTGGGATCACCAGGTGCATTGGGAGCAAAGATGGGCGACGCAGCCAACGAGATGGCACATGCCGCGCTCAGCCAGCACGTACTATCACCAGAGACAATAACACTTCTCCTAAACTTCCATCGTCGTGTGACACCAGTAGTGTCGCTTCGGGCCATGAAGGCACACCACACAGAAATGCACACACCCGAGAAGAAAGAGGGCCGTTTCTCCCCTCCACAGTACCGACACCTTTCCTTGAGGACTCAAAGAGAAAGCGAAGAAAAATCACGCACAGACAAAAAAAAAAAAAAAAAAAAACTCGCATAAAATGACGATGCGACACCACAAGAAGCAACAACGACAAAGGCGTCATTGTTCAATTGACAGTTCTAACTTCCCATAAAGACGCCAGTAGGTTGACAGAAAGGAACAACGTCCCGAAAATAAATGGAGCTTAGCGCCTTATAACGTTCGAAAAGGGCTTCGTTGGAAAGTCAGATACGACACAGTACTTCTCTCGAGCTTCGACAGATGTCAACATCAAAACACCAATGTCTATAAAGCCACAGTCCACACGCCCATGTGTCAAGCGAAGAAAATTAATCATTCGACACCAATTCGATTGTACCGCACAGATCCAATTGGTACTTGCAACTCCAGCATACAAATCCACCCACGATGAAGCAGGAGAACTTGCCCCCCATCGTGTCGACTCGGATCCAGCTTTAAGTGTAGAAAGGTTCCATGTGCTCAATACCTCGTAGGACTCGTCTTCAAATTCCTTCTTAAGCCATAAAAAGCTCTGGCGCGGCGTCCCACCACTTACAAAGACCCTACAGGAATTTTGAGAGGGAGCTGATTCTGAAGAAGTGCTAATGGCAGCCACATAGTCTCTGTAAATTGAAAGCCCAACAGTGTGACAACCAAAAACGTTGTAATATTCCCGCATTTTGGCCACCTCACCGCGATCCTGAACGTAAACTATGCAGCGATTTCTGGGAGTGGAGTCAACACGCACCATGTGCGGCGCAATTAGACCGAGAGGCGAGAGGTGGTACTCTATCATGGCCTGAAACCACGGCTGCGGGGCACGCGTAAGGTATGTAAACACCTGTGCTAGCATAAAAGAGAGCCGCGCGTCAATTCCCTTTTCAAATGTACCATAGACTGCCATGTTTGCAGGGTTCTTCACCCACTTCTGGTACTGTGAAAAGCAAGTCCACTGCTGGTGACCCGGACCAAAGAAGGCCTCATCCGACGGTATTGTGTTCCGGTCCAAACCAGGGATATCAACAGAGTATTTGCGTATCACGCGGGAAGAAATACTTGCAGCATCGCGCCCTCTGCGTATCACACGCACAGGCCCACCTGGCAACTTGCACCGCGATGGTGGAAGGTAAAAGCAATCCAAAGACCTTCTTCCAGCCCGCAGGCATCCGCGAGCAACAAATTGCCATTTTTTATCTGATTTTGGGGCAACAATCAACAAGGTCCTCCCAAGCCTTAAGGCGCCAAGAAAGTCAAAAGAAATAACAATAAGCGAAGAACCAAGACCATGCCCTCCTTCCTTAATGCCCGAAAGAAGAAATCTTCGGGCACCACACGGGGCCTCGTTCTGGTACTCATGGAGACGTTTCTGTACCTCCGCGGTGCACGGCAAATGGTGGTGGGACTTCTTGGAAACCCACCATGGGAAAGCAGTTCCGTTAACTGCAGTTGGTGGGGTATCGTAGCCCGAGTAAAATGTGCCAGTGCTCACAGAACCTGTCGGTTTTTGACGAGCAAAAAAATACTCCTGCTGTAGCATCGCATCTGCTGTTTCAACGTGCAAAGGTAGGAGTAGGGTAGCTCCAACACTTGACGGTGATGGAAATAGCGGCGAATGAGGAGCCGTTGCCCAGCAGTGTGCTTGACGGCGCATCTGTTTCTCTTGAATCGCCTCGACGACAGCAGACCGATTGGCGGGTAGATGGCGGTGCATTGGATAGAGATGGGGGAGACTAATTGAGTTTTCTCCTTGCGCAATATTCCCCTTCACAAACATGCGGCTGGAACGTCCAGTATTGACATTGGTAGAAGCAGTAGGATCTCGGTTCCGTGTCACAGGCGTCGATGACGTTTTTGCAGCCGTCTCGGTAGTTGCGCTACCACCCAAGTGACGTAACAGTGACACCGCAATTATCCATGCCAATGCTCCTAGTGCTGCCACCAAAATAACCAAAGTACGCCGAGTGCGCCTGCAAAATTTGATTCCACCATTATTTTTGTGCTGCGTCAATCTAATCATCGTTCCAGCACCCTTACCTCCCCTACAAGATGTGCAGAAAAGTGCATAAACCCACGGAAGATAAATAAGAAGTTAAATGCAAATGGTACACAGAGTGCGATCATGTAGTCCACTTGGTCTAACATACACAGCGGGGTACATTACACACCCACGGTAAACACAAACACAGACAATTAGAGAAGAACCTGCTCACTCAACCGCTTATCTTGGCAAGTAGCTCTCGCTGCCCAATTTATCCATGAGAAAACCTTTCCCACCAAGCCCAGGTTGCTGCCCTGAGAAGCTCAGCGTCGTCCCGAACACCTCCAGAAGCGACCGCTGCAAAGAGTGGAGGGCCGTTTTTGCCGCATAGTCGGACGCAAAAAGAATCAGGAAAGAGCCATCATGATAGGTGACGCTCACGGCGTCAAAGACACCCTTGAACAGGCTTTCCACAAACGGTGTGGAAAGCACAATGTTGCTTCCCCACCTGAGCGTTGATGTGATCTTGCCAGCATCATGGGAAATCAGACGCACCAGCAACTGGCAGCGGGCGCTGGCTTGCTGAGAAGCATCGGCCTCAGTAAAAATGTCCTCCAGGGTGAGCGAAAAGGCCCACGCGGCAAAAATCTCCGCGGAACGAGGAGAGGTAAACTGTAACATCACAACACAGCGCTCCCTGCTCACGTGCTCCAGCGCTCCAAATGAACGGGCGTGGGCAGTGAGGCTGCACTTAAAAGACTCCATGTATGGCTCCGCGTCCAGCGATGCTGCAACCAGAACGCGTCGGCGTTCACTTTCCCCATCATGGGCTTTCAGGTATTCCTGCAAATCATCGATTTGGGCGGCAAAGCGATCGGAAAACGCAGACCAGTACGAGTTCCACAAATCAACGTCCACCACTTGAAGTGAGGGGCTGTCATGCGGCGTGTTAGCGTGCAACTCGCGCCGCAGAACGGGGAACCCCGGTAAAACTGCAGCTCCACGGTGGAACGCAATGCCCAACCGACGCCGGGAAAACGCATCCCACTCTGTTGAGGCATCACCGAGTGTAGCAACATCAGCCTGCGTCGGCGGTTCCTCGCAAAAATCGGACTTTTTTTCTGTAACTACAGCGTCAGTTTGGGCAGCATCAGCGAGGTGCGCCTCCGAAACGGCTGGCGGCTCCTCGCATGCACTCACAAGAACGACAACAGCTGGTGTATCGACCTTCTTTGGCCCCACCAGTGGCGGCGCCTCAAGGGAACTAATCGCATTCCACATTTTTTTTAATGGAGTCTGTGAGCTCCAAGATTTTTCTACTTGTGCAACGCACCAAAAGAAGATGGAAAAACAAACAAAGAAAAGAATTACGGCGCAAGCAGCAGCCAATCGCATAGCTGCCCCTGGAGCGTATTCATATGCATATATATATATATATATATATATATATGGATAGCTAGACATATACTTTTCTCTTAATTTTTTATTCTCCTCCACGTGGACACCATTCCTTCTCTTTTATTGATCCACTTTTAAGCGACTAAACAGTGTATTCTTCAATTCCCTACTCGTGGGTTTGAGAGGCTGTGCCAAATGAAAAATGGCCAACAGGAATTCCATCTTGCTTGCATCATAAAGCCTCTTCCAACTGATTCGCGTCAGTCTCGTACTTCCCCTGCATCCTCATCTTCATAACCGTAGTCGTAATCATCATCATCAGCGTCATTCCAGTATTCATTTCTCTTTTCATCCTTCACCTTCACCCTCGCCGCCGTCTGCTTGCGTTGTTTTCGGTTCACTAGAACCTCCTCATCACTCTCCTCCTGCTCATTAACCTCCACCGCCTTTTGAGGAATGGCCGGCTGCTGCTGTTGTTTTTGGTGTGGTTCTCCCTGGCGTCTCTTCGCCTTCTTCTTGCCGCGCCTACCCTTCCCGTCATAATCCTCGTCACGAGAACCATACGTTTCGTCAAGAACCAACTTGCTGAGGGCCACCTTCAACTCGTCGTCGTTCTCGCCAACCACCGCGGGTGTGGATGACAGCTCAGCCGTGGTGACAGTTTGCTGATCGGTGCCGTCGTCCTTACCCAACACCCGTTGCACACCTTGCGGTTTCCTACTGCCCCCTTTCCCCTTCCTTCTGCCCCGGTTGCTTTCGGCGTGAGGGTTGCTACTGCTACCAGTGCAATGGCTCTTATCGGCGTTCCCTACGCCACCGGCCCCTGTCATTTGGGCGTTGGCCCGCGCAATAAGCTCGGCGTCCATCACATCACCTTCGCCCACATCCATGGCGGCGTTCTCAATTACGTGCACTGATCCACCCGGTGGCATTTCAGTCTTAACAAACCTTTCAATGTCTCGAAACAGATGTGGTTGCAAGAGAATCAGGAGCGAGTGTATTTGCAATGCGGCGTCTGATCCTCCAGCTTCGACGACCTTCTGAAGGATGGAGGTCCCATTTTTCTCACACCATTCAACAAGCTTCTCTAGCGAGGGCTCATCCGGGACGTTGCAGCGCAGCTTCATCCGCGCACGCGCAATGGGAATGGTCTTCGCATCTATGAGTTGATGAATAAATGCAAGCGCCTGCTTCTTCACCGGTTGATCCAGCTTGACTGCGGCACCGATAGAACGCAACGCTTGCTCAATGACTTGACTGGGGAAAGGCCTCTGTGTAACTTCGTTCACGCATTTTTG